ATAGATAGATAGATAGATAGATAGATAGATAGATAGATAGATAGATAGATAGATACAGACAACGAGAAGGAGAGGAGAGAGCACTTGTGGGCATGTGCGCGGGCGCGCTGGTAGGTGGCGACCACAATACGTGTACACTCTCACGCGCACCACCAAATTACTCGCGCCATTTTTCTTAACAATCGTGTTCTTTACTCGGGCGTTACTTGTTTATTTTTGAAATGCTAACGTATTTAATGTTACCTATTCAAACCGAGGTAATGTGAGTTTGTTTGTTTGGTAAGTGTTTTACGGCGCTCGCAACTGCGTAAGGTCATAATATGAGCGCAAGGGTAATATGAGTGTAGATACTGACGAAGATATTGTGTGTGTGTGTGTTTGTGTGTGTGTGTGTGTGTGTGTGTGTGTGTGTGTGTGTGTGTGTGTGTGTGTGTGTATGTGTGTGTGTGGTAAAGTGGTTTGTTAACTCGCTTTCTGTGGTGGAAACGCTACTGGTATTTTGTTGTATTTGGGAAACCGATTGTCTTGTTGTGTGGGTAGACGATAGACGGGGCACTACGTAAGCTGCCATGACGGTCACTGGATGACTGGTATTCATAATCGCTCTCTACCTGCCTGGTGGTATAGGTACCGACCGGTAGAGCACTGAACGGTGTGGGCGCAGAGTTCGTTTTAAATCTGTGCTGAACTTTGGTTATAGTATCGTAGACTTTATAAATTTGTAGTTGATACGAGTTGTTAATGGATTTCATACGTCTGCGCTTAAAATATATTATTTTGTAGACGTAATAGCTGTGTTTGAGCACCGTGTTTTGTTGTCTGTAAATCTGTGATGAGCATACGTTATTTTACATACTGTTGTGAACAGAACCAACCTTTTTCGCGCGCTCATATGACCTTATGCAGTTGCGAGCGCCGTAAAACTGTTACTGAAACAAGCAAAGGATATTTTGTCGAGTTTATAAACCTGTGCTGGACACAGTCTATTTTATAAATCTTCATAAATTTGCTATGAACTTAGGTTATTTCGTAGACCTAAAAAATCTGCGCTGAACCTAAGTTATTTTGTTGACTTTATAAATCAACTCTGAGCATAGATTACTGATGTCATTTGTTTCTGTATCATCATGCATAGGATGGGTCTCACTAATGTCTCACCGTTTTGGGGAAAGCACGTTTATCTTTGAAGTAGGATTATTTTTAACCGGTGACTGTTGACCGCAGACTAGGAATTTGCATAACAGTAGGTGTAAGCGGAAGTACGTCACTACAACGTAAAGTGCTGGGGATGGAACGGAGACCGCTCATGTCTTTAGCACACCCTTCCGTCGGATTTTTCGCCTTGGAATTCTTTTTGCCCCCACATCCGCCTTGTTTGTTTTTCTGTCTGTTTGTTTGTGTGTCTGTTTTTTTTCTACACCCCCCTTCCCCTCTCTCTTTCTCTTTCCTTCTCACATTGTCTCCCACCCTTCTCTTTTTTATCCTCTATTTCCTTTCCTTCTCTAACTCTACCCGCTCTGTCTGTCTCTCTCTCCTTCTCTCGTTCTCTCTGTGTCTCTCTGTCTCTCTGTCTCCCTCTCTTCGTTTCTTAGTCAATAACAAACAGTACCCCCTTGCATACACCCCCC